ATAAAAAAAGTATGTTAAAAAGGTAGTTTAGAAAAAAAACTTAAGTTTTGTTTTAGCAAATTTTGGTGCAAGTGATCATCAGGAAGAGTTAGTGAATCGGATCTACTTATTATATTTTAAACATTATATTTACAAACTATACTTATATCTAAATAAATTATAATTAAAAATATTAAAATATGGTTTAGAATAATAGTCCAAAGATAATACTTTTATTTGTAAAAAATACAGACAAACTAGTTGAAACAAAATCTTTCAATTTTACTTACCAATTATTTAGACCGCCAAACTACCTTCTGGCCTTTCAAAATATTTACCTCTTATCTAGTTTTTGGAACTACTATATCTTATTGCATCTTAGGTTAAAAAACAATAAATTTAAAGATAAACTACTAATAATTCAAGTTGGTTGTTATGTTTTGTATTACAAAAAAAAGGTTTTACAGTATATAACATGATGATTTTTACTATTAAAAGTACTTTAAAAATTACAATTAACTATATAAAAAAAAGATTATCACCAATCATATTTGTCCTAATATTGGCCAATCAAAACAAACTTCTGCTATGTTGTAATTTTAACAATGAAATTTATATTTAAATATATATTTACCAGTGTTGGGCAAATTAGTGGTCGACCAAAAATTTACTGGTCAAATTGGTTTGGTCAAATTGGTCAAATGGTCAAACTAGTCAGATTGGTCAAATCTATTATATAAATATAATATATATATTATATAATAAAATTATATTTAAATATACTATATGACCAATTTGACCAGCACAGATCATTTGACCAGACCGGTCAAATTGGTCAAATTGGTTTGGTCCAATAGTCAAACTGGTCTGGTCAAGCCAACACCGATATTTACATAGCACAAATCATGTGGTCTGTTCTTTGTTAAAAACACACAAAAGTAATGCAACACGTGTTTTGTGATATACACGTGATTATTTTTGCATTGGTATTAATAATGGCTACTAAAATTTTAAAAATAGAAAAAGACACTATTTGTAAATAAAAAAAAAAAACTAACCAATACGCCCGGAATTGCGTGAGGTAATATGATCTAAGTAAAAATTTTTTTTTGTTGCACTACTTATAATCGCCAGTGTATATAATTTTAACATAGTATACTAAAATAATTTATTTCGCATTTTAATATATATACTATTGATTGGTTTTTATAATAGTTAAATATACAGGCTGATAATGGATACATGTGACATTTATATAATATTAATGATGCAAAGTTGCATGATTTGGTTTAATCACAATTTTCTGTGTGAAGAACGATAATGTATAAGCAATTCACGATTGTTGGAGATTCATCATGTGATAGTATTTTGCCTGGTCATTTCCATAGTAAAACTTTGACTTTACTATGTAGCAACTATTAACGATATAAAAATAGAACACTATAGTCTAAAGTGTACATAGTAAAATAAAAACTCAGTGTTGTCATTTAAGCAAAAGTTATATTTTTGATAGATCTACATTTTTTGATGCATCATAAAATTTAAATTTTTCAAGAATTTGAGCAAAAATATCTTGATGACCGCCTAACTAAATTCAATTTTTTTTTTTGATTCTTCAGTTTTGTAGAATCAAAATAAAAAAAAAGATCGTCAAATTTGGTTAGGTGGTTGCTAAGATATCTTCGATCAAAGTTTTGAAAACATTAAAAAAAAACGTCTATCAAAATAATAGCCATGGCAAAATATAAAACTTTGAACGAAGATATCTCAGCAATCACCCATCCAAATTTGATAATTTTTTTTTATATTGATTCTACAGAACTGAAGGATAAAATAGAAAAATTTATTGAATTTATTTTGGCGGTCATCGAGAAATTTTAAATTTTATAATCAAGAACGCCACTTCAATTTAGAGTGTAACCGCAGATCTAACTTTTGTTGCATCATTAAATTGTTTAATTTCATGTGATCGACCCTGCAAGTTAGAGGTATCAAGAACGCATCTTTTGTAATGTGCCAGTATTAACTTATAAAGTGAATTAAAGAATATAATAGGATCGGTATTTACACTCAAGAGAAGAAACATGGGCAGTTTTACAGAACCTCAAATTCTACCTGATTACTATAAAATATTAGAAATTTCACCTTCCGCACCACAAGTAGAGATTAGAAAAGCTTATAGAAAATTAGCCTTGAAATATCATCCAGACAAAAATACAAATCAATGTGTTATTGTGTCAAATTCTTCTAATAAACGTAATGCGCTTAACGAACACTTTATTTCAATCAATGAAGCTTACAATATTCTGTCGAACGCAGAATCCAGAGCTAATTATGATATTCAACGCCTTACTGGTAACTCAACCTCAAACAGTGGGCCTTCCAGCACATTGGAAAACATGCATGGGCTATTTCGTGAAATCATGTCATACAAAGAAACTATTTCGGAGCTTTCTGGTTCATTTATGACTCGTTCAATTGAGTTAGGTTGGATTGCAGTTAGCACTGAAGAACAGCTTTTTAGCACTTATGAGAGGGAGATATCTTTAATAGAATCAAGTATTCTTGCTGAGCCTGGAGAATCTTCTACGCCACCTTTTAATCAATATGATGATGATCTTTCCGACAATTACCTCCCTGAAGATGATATAATTCAAATCCTAGAAAATCCTCAATGGATAGTTATTGATAAAGAAACTTTAATTCGCAGCCATCAACTTTCTGATTTTGTTGAATCACAAAATTTACTTATTAAATCTGTTTCAGATATAATTTCACCATTAATGATGGCTTGCTCTTATGGCACGTGGAGTTATGAAAGCAAAGTGGAAACGTTGAACCGAATTAAATCATTACAGTTAAAGATTATACAATATTTGGAAATTATGAATCAAAAGATAGAAACAGATGTGCAAGCTTTTGATTCCATCATTGATAAAGTTATTAATCATATAATATTGTTTCAATTGTTTATTATCATAATTGCAAATGGGTGACTTTGATTATATTTTACTTTTAGATAACAACAGATAATATTCAAGAGCAAATTGTAAACTTAAGCAAACATCCTATCATGAATAAAATATCCGGCGGTAAATTCGGACAAAATGGACATCCCTTATGGAATATAGCTGCATTCATAGGGCCGCCATTTGCTGGATATTCGCTTTACTGGTTTGTTTATTTACTTAAGTATGTAGAAAATTACATTAAATATGACTAAACCTTGTATTTCATTTAGGTCTATCCTATGCCTTATTATTTTAGGTGCGGTAACCGTTCATTTCAACGAAGGAGATTTAGAAAGTTTTAAACAATTTCTGGATTTGTTTGAAAACAGTGTTGCATTATTTGATCAAATTAAATCATGAAATTTACATAAATATTATGAGTAGTTTGATGTTCAAATCATATATATATATATGAATTTAATACTAGATATATAGTTTAATTCGTCTATGCTCAGTGCAAATACATAATATAATGCTTATGTATTAACCTAGTAACCTAAATTCATCACATTATAATTGCTATTACTACTCCTAAATTATAGGATAACCAACTAAATTTCTATAAATAATATTAGACCTTTTTAATATATTATCAATTAATAAGAATCTCCTAAATAATTTATGTATTAACAATTTTAGGTGATGGAGACCTAAAATTCTACCATATAGAATGTCTATCTAGAATAATGTCAATTTTTAATGCTTATTTTTTTTACTCTTTTTAGTCGTTACTACTTTAAAAGCACCCGCTCCATTCCCTGTAAAATCATCCTTTGCACCATTACTTCCATTTGCAAGATCTTTGTTTGGTTTACTATCCGAATGATGGTTTAATAAACTGTTCATCGGTAATCCATTAGCATCAGCCTTCCTTCTTTTAATAAATTCATCAGCAAATCGACGCCCATCTAAAGTTGGTGAGTTAGCATAAATAGACTCTTGAATAATCTCGACAGTTTCCGGGGGTGGGTCAAGTGGAAACGTTAACAACACATGAATGAATTCATCGACTTTCGTCATAAACCGTCATTTTGTGTATGCGTGAATTAAAAACAAAGTGCATTAATTAATATAAATACAATTATATAAAAATTACATAAATAGGATTATACAAAAATGGTCGCATATATACCATTTACGTTATTCAATCCACGTAAGGCATTTCTGCACCATTTTAAAAATTCTTCGGAAGGTGGTCGTGGCGTAGAACCTTCGGAGTAAGATGAGATATTACCGCCACTGTTATTGTTATTGTTGGTGCCACTCTTGGATATGCCCATATTAACAGTCGTTCTGGTACCACTTTTCAAGGTCTCAGTAGGCTTAGCAGATTGGTTTACAGCTCTAGAATGATATGCAATGTATAAGGTAATTTTCATTTTTAATATAATAAAAACTTATAGAATTACCTTAATCCAGACTGAACACCGTTAACCGACTTGTGTTCTGAGTCTAAAAGCGAAGCATCTTTAGTAGCTATATTCGTTTTTGAGTTCAAACTAATATTCGTTGGAGTAGTAGTAGTGACACGAGCAGACGTTTTACTTGCAACGGTTGTCCAGGCATTAGTCACAGAGTTTACTGATGGCTTCTATTAAGCATGGTTGAATAGTGATAAAATAAAAATAAAGTTAAATAAAAAATGCATAAACATAAATATAAATAAAATAAATTATATTTAAAATAAAAACCTTCGAATTTGCGTTCAAATTTCCAACGGATACCGTATCAGCATAGCGTTTTCCCATGCTATTTGGAGCTGTCGTTCCACCGGATGCAGCAGAGATATTCAATGCCTGTTGCATCTCGCGAAGCTTGTTGCGTTTCTTTATTGCTTCCTCTTCTTCTTTTTGAATTTCTCTAAGAGTCTTTTTTGGTGCAGTATTGTTTGATTGCCAAGCTGGTGTGGTCACAACAGGTGAAGTAGAAAGTGAAGACGAATCCGACTCGTTAGATGAAGCCGGAACAACTATGCCCCAAGAAGTAGTTGAGGTTGCCGCATCATCCTTATAAGGAGCAGGCGCATGTGAATTTGCGGTTACAGCAGCAGCAGCTTTTCTTTCAACTGCTTTTCGAGCTTCCATTTCTTGAATTTCACGCAAAGATGGCGTTTTTTGAGTTGGGTGATCATCATCTTTAGCCCACGGAGCGGGTGAGGATGGTGTTACAGGACTATTGTTAACCCACGCTGCATTTGACGACTTTAGTGGTTGAGGAAGTTTACCAGCAGTACTGTTTGTGGATGCACCAGAAACCACAGTTGTTTTTTTCTTTTTCTTCGTGCTGCTTTTTACGCTCTTCTTCCGCTTGAATTTCACGTAAAGAAGGTTTTGATCGCAAAGTTTCTTCCTTTTGTGTAGGTTGAGGGATAGGTTCATCTAATTTGGGCTTTGGTGATAATTCTATTTTATCCACCATATTAAATTTTCCATCGACTTTATTTAAATTAATTTTTTCATCCATTGGAGTTAGCTTTGACATTGATTCGATAACCTCATTAATCGTTTTATTCTCAAAAGTAGGTTCTTGTGTTTGTCCAACAATTTCATATGATCGATCATTAGTGCGATTTTGTAATCGTTCGTGATGTGTTGATTGTTGTAACCCAAAATTGGATTCTTTTCTAATACCAAAATACCCCGAATCTTCCGACTGTTGAACTCGAGAAGGTGTAACGCCAACACCAGGAGCTATTATTCCCCATGGCGAAACTGGGGGAGGTTGTTGTTCTGTCGTGGTTGGCCAACCTGCATTTCGCGTTATGACATCAATGAATGGTGAATTTGGAGCATTTGTAATCGGTGCTGAGACTGGTCCAGATAGACCAACATAATTTTGATGTTGTTGACGAATAAATGTATCTGGATAGGCATGTTGATTTTGCTGTAATTGTCTTTGTTGTAACATTAAATACTGTTGTCTCTCTAATTGTCGTTGATGTTCCATATAAGTTTGGGGTGGCGACACATTGAATGTCGCATTATTGTTGAATAATGGAGGAGAATTTGGAGTTTGCAGACGAGGTGAAAGATTACCACCATTTGATGTGTAATTTTCAGAAGGCCCCCACCCAGAGCTCGTCGTCCCTAAATCACTCCAACCATTTGATGTCTCATTACGACCAAACACCCCACCGAATTGATATCTATCAAATGGTGTTGTCGGTACAGACGTAGTTCCTCCGAACGGATTAAATCTTTGTTGGTGTTCTAAAAACAATTGAGCTGTGCTAGGCGAATTAGGCGCTCCCCAAGCTCGTTGAAATGGGTCATTTACCAACCGTGAAGAATTATTTGGCATAGAGATTGTTAATGATGGTCTATTTCCTATAATTGGTGCTGAAAAAGGTCTCTCATCATCACCAGTCTTTCTAATTAAAGCTCCTAGTGGTTCAAATGTAGCATCTTCCACTCTTTTAACCAAAAGACTAAGTACAAAAAATCCACCTTTATACCATTCATTCATTTCTTGACTGCTAAATGGTCCTGGAGTTTGTTAAATAAATCGTGGTTTAAATTAGGATAATAAGAGCACAATTAATTAACGGTTTACATTTATGTTGATAATTAACATACCTTGAATATTGCCACTCGGATCTCTATACAACCATTTAGATTGCTCTGATTGTTTTCTTGATTCTGAATTTAGACCGGTGCCAGAAAAGAGACTTGTTACCCCAGAATTAGTATCTCCGAAAGCACTATTAGAGCCAATTATAGAGTGTGCGGAATACTTAGTTTTTCCCGGAGGGGACATTGGTGGTGTGTTACCTCCCATATTTGGATATGAAAAAGCCTCTTTAAGTACATCATCATCTTGATCAGGGTCAAAATGATGTTGCAGTAGTAATTGTTGATGTTGTTGCTGCATTATATGCTGCTGACGATCCTGCATGATCTGTTGTTGTTGAAGTAATAGCTGTTGCTGTTGTAGTCGCAACTGATGCTGAAGTTGCTCCTGCCTTTGCTGAATTTGTAATTGTTCTTGTTCATGCTGCTGTAATTGCAGCTGTCGTTGTAGCTGTTGCTTCTCATTATGTTGTTGTTCCTTATCTTTTTCTTGCTGCAGTTGTAACTGCTGTAAAATTAATTGTTGTTCTAAAGCGTGCTCTCTATCAATATCACGTTCAAACTCTCTTTCAATTTCATTTTTTTCTTGCTTAATAATTGAATTTCGATGATTTTGTTGTTGCGGGGATAATTGCTCGGCTTCATGCCATCTTTGTTGCAATTGTGACTTCTCATTTTGTTCATCTGGTGGGTGAAATTCTTCTTGTAGATTTATATTATCATCCTCTTGTTGACTTTGTTCTTGCAACTCTCGCCACCCCTGAATCATATTTTGTTCTTTTTCTGCTTGCATATGTTGATTAACACGTTGAAATGGTGGTTTTTCTTGGAACGAATTCAATTCTTCCGATGATAAATTCATGTCCTCAACATTATTTATAGATTCATTTTTTAATTCCGAAAATTCCTTTTTGGAGGTAATATGATCACTTTGAGGAGATTTTGTATAATCGCTTGCATCCGAATGATCGGCTTGGCTTTTCTTTTCAATCTATATACAAAATAAGTATTAAAGTATGAAATTAAAACAAATTTTGGAATTATTCAGTAACCAACCTCTTGATCAATTTTTTTATTAGGTTCGGGATCATCTTTCTTTGATTTATCAAGAGATTCATCATCTACATGATTTCCTTGAATTCTAAACACCCCATTACTGTCAAAAGTTCCTACTGCATTTCTAGTTACCACGCCATTCCAAATTGGATCGTCACTAGAAGGATTTAAAGACCCGGGTGTTCGAGGTGGACGACTACTCCGTGGACTCGTTCGCCCGCTGAGCACTCCACCGATAATTCCACCAAATCTTTCTCCTCTGGGCGAAGTAAGCCCCGTATTGATATGTTTATCATTTCGTGGGGAATACGGTACTCTATCTCTTTCTACGCGCTCACCCCCTGTAATCACCCCCCCTGTAGTATTGGAGACGATACGTCGGGTAAGATCACTATTAACAGAAGCACCCGATAAAAGCTAATTCGTAAAGGCACAAAGGGAAATGAGCAATGAAATATTAATATAATAGTTTATTAAAATTTCTTTTCGCTATAAATCTAAAAATTAACATCTATACATCAATGTAAAATTTTTAATAATAATAATAAAGATCAGCCAAAGAAAATTCCTTGGACCTGATATATCTAAACATTCGGCCGATATTCATTATCCACAAATTTATGACCATAAATTCATATATAAACGGATATATGTTGAATGTTTGTAGTTGTTCCAAAATAACAACTATAACATTTTTGAATTCTTTTCCTATGTACATATACAGCGATATCAATTAGATACCTTTTGTTCCTGTTCTGTTGGTACTATCAATGCCATTGGTTGTAACGGCTCTTCGCTTGTAATATATTCGTGCCGTTCGAACTCCAAAGGCAATCCTACCGGTTTATATAATTTAATCATGAATTCCTTGGAATATTTGAAAGGATTTAAGGCGGAATCATTAGAACCAGGTACATCAGATTTCTCGGATGGTTCGTGTTGAAGGGAACGATTTAATGTAGCGTTATTACTGTTTGCAGCCGCCACAGAAGACCAAGAAAATGTACTTGTGCCCGAGACGTTGTTGTTAACGTTGAAAGTAGAATTTGGTGTATTATTTGTGTTGTTACTTGCACTGCTGGAATTATTTGACGAAGCGGTAGTCGCATTGGTAGCCACGTTAGATGAAAGCAAAGTTGGGGAAGTAGAACGATTGCTATCGTTCGCTGGAGTTTTTGGAAAACGTCTCATCCTTGAAATCGAGAGTTTTGTTTGTGACGTTAGCAAATGACAAATTCAGAATTTTTGACACCTTAGAGACTCTCTTTTTCAAATCTAAATTACTGGCAGTTCCAGCCTAAAAAGGAAAGCTTGTACGGTCATAAATTTTACGGGTCACAAAGCTTACCACTCTGGACCAAAGTTCATGGTGTTGCTCGCAGCCATTGTAATAGTGAAGAATTTAAAAACTAGTTGTGCGGTAGGTTTTTTGCTCTTTACGTTCTGATGTGTTCGCTTAAAATGCGTTTATCACTTGTCAGAGTTGACTAAGTGGGCTGAGATAAAAAAAAATTAGTTTTATTATGTGTATTAGTCACTAACTTATAATAGTCATGACGTTATAACAATGATACTATCACGGTATCACCTGGACGCTTGATTGTTTTTCTATCCGGGTTTCAATGAATTTGATTGGCTGGCTATTTCATAACCATGTATATAGCTCATAATACGTATACTAATTTTTCAAAGATTCCAAATTTAGATGAGATTTGCCTGAATACTACGTATAGTATTTTAGTTCACATTAGAGCGCGAAAAATCATGACCGGAGCGTTTGTCGATAATATAAATCAATCATAAAAAGCTTAATAGCAATGAAACTTAGACCTTCAAAGAAAAGTTCTAATCGAAAAATATAATCAAAAGAACAGAAGTTATATTAGGTTCTATGAAGTTTTTAAAATGTGCTAACAACACGTATTCGATCACTTGTGTCCTTTATTTATATTGAATATATTGATATACATTATGTAATATGATTCCCTTCATTTTGTATATCTAAACAGGAAAATACTAATATAAGACTTAGATATGGATTGGTAAATTTGGTTTCTTCTACAATAACATTAATTTGTTATTGTTGAAGCAGAGGTACGAATTATATATGTTTTTTCTTTGCTACAGTAAATCTTGTTATATTGCTGTATGAACTAAAAAAATCATTTATCTGTAATATGTTGCTATTAACGATGACAGCTTTTTATCTATGCTGTTGTGCGGAAAATTCAGAGTAGCTGTAGTCTGATTCGTTCGAAATTTTTAATAGATTTGAAAAACTAATCATGATATAGCGATTTCCAAACACATTCAGTCTATATTTAAAACAGATAGTTCTCTGGACATTGAAAAGAGGATTTTAGCTAACTAAATACATTGAGAGGTCTCATTTGTAATTAATGACCTTAACAAATGCATCTAACAAAAATTGGTGTGGAAAGTATGTATAACAGTAACACCTTAGCTTAATGAATTTTAATTCCGAACTAATAATGAAATTTCGAATTCCCTGGTTATTTATTACTCATTGACCGTAACCTATGAAATACTGAAAAAATACTGAACTAGTGGACTTGCCATCCATACAAAGTATTGAAATGGTACAAATGTTTTTTTTGAAGCTATAAATGTCTTTCAGAGTATTTTACATGGGCAATTGTGTTAATCTAGGGTTATATCTGACGATCTGGATAGTCCGAATATTACTAATTATTCGGATAAAATTTTGATTCAGATAATTTAAACCGGATTATCTGACTATCTGGTAATAAAATCATGCATATATAACAGATAAGTAGGGATGGTAAAAAATCATTTTTCACCGATTTAAATCATGCGATGATTATACTCCAGATATGCTGAGTTTTAAATTTAATATATTCGGATCATAATCATAACATGATTTAAATCGGTGAAAAATGATTTTTTACCATTCCTACAGATAAGTTAACATTGGCAAACTGAGTTTATACTCGGACTCGTTCTTACATAATAACGACGGGAGAGAAAGTATCTGCACGATTATAGTTCTTTATCCGGTTTATCCGAATATCTGTCGGAGTTAGTCACGGACAGATAAGCAGATACGGATAAGCTCTGAACGGATAAATGGATCCCATCTCTGTTAACAGATAAGGTAAAATCACACGATCACCGTATAACAGATATATTGTCACGTTAAGTATAAAATTTTATTGGCTTTGCAAACAAAGGCGAACACGAGATACAGTATATAAAATTAAAAATCGTTATATTTTGAGATTGTTATTGCTCAAACACAAATCAGTGCAAGTTTAGTACGACAACAAGAAAGATTTCAAATATTAATTTGTAGGCATAATGTTCAATTATGTATACTCGTTTATTAAATCAAATTTATGATGTACTGTATAATATAAGCCGGATTAAAATCGAATAACTGAATAAGCATCTATTTATAAATCCGGATTAAAGGAATATAGGATAGGATGTCTATCCGGACACCGATTCGATGTCCGGATCCAAACATTAGCATTAGGTATATCGTTGCACAACTACTGCATTAAGAAGAGATGCTTCTGTCAAAGTTTGTAATTCGTCCTTAAGGTCCTTAGATGGAAATGTTGTCTGTAAAACGTAGTTGCGTGTTGCTTCTCCAACTCTCGAACTAAATAAATTTATGCAAAAGTATAATCAATATAACAATAAAACATTTAAATTTTCAATATTATAACGATTTATAGCATACGCGTTAATGAAATTTCGAATATCGGAAACGGTATGAGTATGATTGAACCTAGCAAGCATCCTGCACGACATCAATTAAAAAAAAAGGTTCAATAGCTGTAAATAGAAAATCATCATAGAATAAAATATTTACTCACCTCGTTCCATCACCTAGACGAATTTGAATGGATGTTATCGGTAGTGATTCATCAATAACTAGTTCGTTCAATCTTGGTGTTGAAGAACTTGAAGGGTATGCACCAGGTGTACTACTAGTTGCAACTGTTGGTGTTGGACTATAAATAATAATAATAATAATAATTGAAATAAAATAAAAATAAAATCCATGAGTTTAATGCCATATTATGGATTAACCGACCTGCCGAGCCTTTGCCCGGAACCTGAGAATGGCTTGATCGGTTGTTTAGGTGGTGGTTTATAGTCTTCATCCAGCCTACGTTCCACACGAATATCCACTGGTTGATCATATCTTACATTTAGCCAAGTCAAAGGTGCACGTCTACGCAAATAAATAATGAAGGATTAGTTAGTATCTTATTCTAATTAATTGATAAAATGGCATCTTTAACTACCCATTATTAATAGCTTTAAGGAATTCTTCGTTTGCTGGATCATCATATGCCATTAAGGGACCATCCTCGATACTAAACCCATCCCTCCAAAATGTCAAATGACGGACAACCTATAAGGTGTTATCGTTAAAAACGAAGAATTTTAAAAACATTATTTGGTAAATGTGCTCACCGTTCTGGGTGGCTCAACGGTGGAAGGTTCTGATGAGTTCACTGCAACCGAAGGCTCTTCATCACTTCCAAGTTTGTAACCTACGATCGCAAAAATATTTCAAATTTATGACATAAATAATATGTAGAAAAAGAATCTTACCAGTGCCAGTAAAGGTGTGTGGAGCCGGTGTAGTTTCGGGTTCTTCAACATATCCACGCCCACCTCTTATACCAAACATAGAACATAAAATTCAAGAATTATCTCACTATGTAATAACAACATGCAATAACAGCACACTTAGATAAAATCTTCTCTTACTCAGTTGCCTTTTTGAGAATGTCATCAACTAATGATCTTGGCTTGCCGGGTTTTTGCATGAAAATTCCACTGTACAATAACAAAGACAACCCGTGAATATAATACCTTATTCCATGGACGATAATTTAAAATTAGCTTTGCACGCTCACGATTTTTCACCGCCGGCAAATAGATTTTCGCGCACTTCTTCTTCCTCCTCTTCATCCGACTGCTCCTTATCATAATCACGCAAAGTAGCATATTGGGAACTAGGAGCAGATTATTTGAATCATTAGAAAACACTTGACAATTTATAAAGGAAAGCTATGAAATATGCATTTGACATACTTTTTTTTTTGTGTTGAGCCAGAAGCTGTGCTATGAGGCGCAGGAACTCGTGTTTCTTGGAATGAGCCTTCAGCATTTTCCCCTTCTGCATCATTTCCGTCATGTTCATAATAATTATCTACCGCAGCCTAAAAATAACGGAGCACTTTAGAAAATTCATGATTTCTAACTTTATCGCTAAGAGACCTAGAAAAGACTTTTAATTACATTGAGGTCCCAGTTATTCGCTTCCAAATAGAAACGAGCTTGTTGTTCGTCACAAGAAACAGACGCGGTAAAGCGTTCAATTAATTCAGAATGATCAGACATTACGAAAAAGTTAAACTTCGGACAGAAATGAAAGAAGATACCGGGCGTATTTATATATGCTCGATGTTACACTTGCAGGGTATCGGATCGAAAATTAGATCGACTGGACCAGCATTAATGTAACGCAGGCCAAATTATCAAATATCCCTGATAAATATAAAAATACCAGTAATGCGTAACCACATCCTATTCTGAATTGAATTTTACCAAGAATAATGGTAAAGCTTCTAGTTATGGTTAATATTACATATAATCTTTTGATATAACTAAAAATAATATATTAATTTCTTAGGATCGATTTAATCTCAACAGTCAACTTGAACATTGTGAGTATAAACTTGTTTATTAATGGCTTAAGAAAGAAATGCATATTAACATATCCTTTCAGTACAATCAAAGTATGTTGGAACAGGTCATGCAGATACGAATAAATTGTGAGTAATTTTTTGTGTTTTATTCCATTAAGAGCACTTCTATAATTACTCTTGACAACCTATCCATAGCGAGTGGTTGGTAAATCAACACAGGGATAGTTATGCGTCGTATATTGGTCACCACGCTTTGATCTCATATTTTTCCGTGGCGCAGAATGAATGTATTGCTAGAGTCAAATTTGAGTTCATAGAAGTAGGCAAAATTTTGTAAAAGTTGTTTCTTTCTGAATTTAAATACGCAGCTTACATATATATATATATATTTTTTTACTTGTAAAGAAAATGTTACAGCCTTGTGGGGTGCCCGTACCTCGAGATGAATAACTAGGCTAATGCGTAGCATTATAGGGCCGGAGCTAAATATTTAAAATTTAATTTTTAAATAAATATACAAGTTGTTTTTAATTTTTTAAATTTGTTACTATATAAGGGCAAGTGGGGTATTATGACGAAGTTGACAAATTTCGAATGTATTGTGTGATCTATCGATTAAAATCGAATGATTTTGGTATCATTTGATTCGTTTCATTGAGCTGAATCGATTGATACCAAAATCATTTGATTCAGGTCACTAGATCTCGAGCTATGATAATTTAAAGTTTTTTTTGTGCTAGAGGGTATTGTGACGAGTTGGGAATATCTCGTGACCCTGCGTCAGAATCTAGCGATTTTTATATCATTCGATTCTTCTCGATGAGGGTATAAAAATCGCTAGATTCCGATCACAGGGACACGAAATATTCCCAATTCGTCACAATACCCATTTATTATCTATGTATATATTCTATATAACTAAATGGTTTAAACATGAATATCTCTTGATTCAGTGATCCAAATTGGGTAATTACTATACCATTTGATTCCTCTCAATAAGAGAATCGAATGTATAAGAATCGCCCAATTTAGATTACTGAGTCACAAAAGTGTTTATTTGTAATATTGCAAAAAAGTATATTAATTTTAATATCTTACAGTATAGCAATCAGAATTGAATAAAACTTCTACCATTTGATTTCACTCTATTTCTATCACAGGATTACAAGATATTTTGATTTATCACAATATCCTTTATTATAACATTTCTTTTTTATCTTATATACTAATAATACTTTTTTAATTATATATAACTAATTAAATTAATCTCAAATCAACTCAAATTTTACAAAGCCAGTTTAGTCAATTAAAAATAAAATAAAATATACAATTTTTTTTTTTTTTTTTTTTTATTCTTTGATGATTTTGCCAAGACTTGTGTACAGTTTACAAATTAATCTTGAAAGACAATTATGGTTGAAAAACAACATAGCTACAACTAAAAGCCCAATCTTACCCGGTTATCTATTGGTACCTAGCTGTGACTATTATACTAACTCACAGATGATTCAGATTATGTGCTAGCTTTTAAAGAACTAAAATATTAAAACTACTTTCCCTTCTAATTTTTCTTTCTTCTCAAGGGGGCATGAGACAAAGAGGGGAAAGAAATAAAAAGTTTTTTAACAAACATGACAAAAAAAAAGAAAAAAAAACAAACAAAAGAAAAAAAAATTAAAATACAGATTTCAAAAAAAAAAAAAGAAAAAAGATCTAATAATATTATTATAACCTATACAAGGCTTAAAAATTATATAACAAATACAATATCTGTATATCTCTGCTGTAAGACTTTGCCTTAATGTATTAGTTTCTTTCTAACTATATGACCAATTCTGGGTATACCTTTAACCAGTATATAAAATCTTATCTCAAAAACATGTGAATATTGTGTATATTGTATACTTAATTTATATAAATAATTTTAAAAATTAGTGTACTATAAATTTTTATAATACTATAAACCATTTTATATAAATATTTATTTAATTTATATACTATATATAAAAATAAACTGTGTGTATAATGTGCTCTATGTGCATATTGAATTCATATTATTTGCTTTACAACATTTTGTTTAACAATAATTTTTTAGTAATATTTTTTATAATATTATTAAAAAAAATAGCTAATAGACAAATTGTTATAGAGCAAATAATATAAATTCTGCATAATTAAGATTTTATTAATAAATCCAGTACCTATCTAGCTAGAAATCTTGTAAATTTTGTACATATTTCTAGCTAAAAATATGTGAAAACTTTTAAAAACGTGCCTATAAGCATATTGTATATATAGATTTTATATAATGAAATTAAATATTATTTTATATAAAATTAATTTTTTTTTATATAAAATTATTATCAAAAAAATACTAGTTATAGTTACTAAATTTTTATAATGCCTTAAAAAAGTAATTATTTCTAGCTTTTAGTATTTTTGTTTAATATTTAGTAGAAATATTAGTATTTTATTAAATTAGTAAAAATATTTATATTAACAATACTATATATATTTAAATTAAATTATAAATCTAATAAGAATATAAACTTTTTAGATTTTAATTTATAAATACTAACTTACTTAGTTATTTTAATAAATACATATATATAATTTGCTATAATTAAATCTATTTTTTTATTTGTTTTTTTTACTTAAAATAACAAGTACAGTCAGATCTTTTTATTATTACCTTCTATATAAGCATATTTTTTTATAAGTATTTTTTTAAAAAACAAACTATTATTAAATATAATAAATTTGATCTCTATAACTATCACACTTCTCTATATTTATATATATTTATATTTCAAGTATGTAATTATAAAGAGATTTGATTTATCTTATTAGATAGATTTTATAGTCTATTATAACTATCTCTTTTTTTTTTTTTTTTTATCTAGTTTTTGACAGAAAGACTAATTATAATTCATTTTTACTGTACAAAAAAATACTAAACCAAATATAAAAGAAAAAGAAAAAAAGTAAATAAAAAAAAAAAAATGAAAAAAGTTAGAAAGCTATATAATTTAAATAGTAGATTAATATATAAAAAGATAAAAATAAAAAAAGTTAGAAAGCTATATTATTTAAATAGTAGATCAAAATATAAAAAGATAAAAATAAAAAAAAAAACCAAAAAAAAGTGTAAACTAGAAATTAAAAAATTTAGATAACAAAGATTTTTAGATAAAAAATTTACTAACCAGACTACTAAAATTACTAGAGTTATACTAGCTATATATTTATTAGTTAATTTTTTAACTAGATAGCTAGTAAATGATTTTAGAATAAAATTCTAGAAAAAAAAAAAAATATGCAACAAAATTATATATAAAGAATTGTACGATCTTTAGACTTAAGCTTAAGAAACTTGAGTTTGAACAAACTATTGTCTTTAGATAATTTAAATTGGAAGACTGAAGATACCAAAAGTACAAAATACAAAAAGATAAAATAGAGAACTTTGCTTTGTGAATTTTAAAAAAAGTAAGAAATAATAGAAAACTAATTAAAAAGTTTGTGCTTGAGATATAAAATATATTATAACAGTATTCTAAAAAGTAGTATAAGATACAAATACAATAGCAGCAGACTATATATGCTAATTAGAACAAAATTACTTTATAAACCTATATCTGTATATAAAAATAGTAATATAATATAAGGTTTATCTTGAAAATTAGCTAAAAGAAGTTTTAAGTTAGATATTAATCTATTAGTATTATATAGATTTATATTTACAAGTAGTAAGGTTATATCCAGATTTGATTAAAAGTAAAGTACAATATTAATTTATTAGTATTATATAGATCTATATTTACAATTAGTAAGGTTATATCCAGATTAGATTAACAGTAAAGTACAAAAATTATAATAAGAAAGTTTAAATTATAACTAAATTGTAAGTGCAAGCATCTAATATAAATAGCACTAAAAGTGCAGTGGCTAGTTGTATTTTTATTACAAAATTGTGTGAATTTAATAATAAATTATCAACTAAAAAGTTACTTTAATAAATAAAAAAAAAAGAAAAAATAAAAC